CCTTCCCGGCCAAGAGGATCCAGCTTTCATAGCCTGAGAGTTGTATAAAATCAGCCCCTAGTGATGGATAACAAAAAAGTTTCTTTGTCCTCCCTTTATTTACAGAAAGTATATTGTGTCTGTTTTGAGAATCAGAAGGATTCCCTAGGGTACAGATTTTGTCCTCTGATGTGATCGTTAAGCAGCCTTCTTCTCTGCTTTGTTAGCTTGATGTCTTTGTTCACCTGTAAATATAGTTTCATTGACCTCTGCCAGTGATCACTGGTCAGACAATTTTGAGGCCATTCCTTTGTCTAGGGGAGGTTGGGCTTATGCACTCTCTCCCAGAAACATTTTACGAATATATTTCCAACACACATGCATATTTTTATACACAGTCTATATATACATCACGCTGTGGTTTTGGGGACTGGCATGTTACCAATTTACATGGGACATCTCACATGGCACTTTCTAGATGCTGATTATGATAAAAGTATCTTGGAGCAATGAGTGTGTCAGGCCTGTTCTGAGTTTCAGTATAGGGGGCCCTCTGCCAGTTGGCTCTAATGGGCTTCCAGGGTCATAAACAATATTACACTTATCAAATTTGTAATCAGATAACAATCAGATTTGTAATCTCAGTAATCTCTATTCATTTCCTTAAAACTTTAAGATTCAGAGAACAGTATCAGGGGACAGCTCTACCTGGCATAAGAATATTAAAAATCCATTCAAACAATTATATTTTAACACAATGACCTTATCATTGCAGTTAGACACTTCATACCATTTCTTGCCATTTCAACCAGAAAGGACATTGTCTCAACTACTTGATTACCTGCATCCTGCTTCAAAGGCCTTTTAAGACTGCACTTGAAAGAGAATCCTCTGAACTCTCATTCATGCTTAAATTCGACACTTTACGCCTGAGTTTGAATAAAGAATCTAATTACCTTACCCATTACAAAGATAGCTTCCCCAGTTATCACCTCTAATATCATTAGCTCACAGACATTTACCTTCCCCCCCTCACATCCCCCTTCTGTTCTGAAATTTGATTTGTCCTTTTCATATGTGTTCATTTTTTTTAATTGTATCCTTTGGTATATATGGTTGTGACTATTTTCTTCTACTATTTGATCTGAGGAAGTGGGTCTGGCCCATGAAAGCTCATCACCTAATAAACCATCTTGTTAGTCTTTAAAGAGCTACATAGTCCTGTTTTTTGATTCAGCTACACCAGACTAACACGGCTACATTTCTATCACAGTTCAGAGGCAGGAA